TATTCATTAATGCATTTAGTGGTTAAGTATTTTATAGGTGAATGTAAACATTGAGGGCGCAAGCATGAGATATTGATTGACATTTTTTGACTAAGATTAAAATAAATAAATAAATCAATTCACTTTAAAAAATTTTAATTAAAAAAATTTTTTATTCTATTTGTATATTTTTAAAAATTAATTTTTATTTTTATTTTATTGATTTATTATTTTAAAAATTTTGTATTATTAAGAAATTTTTTTAATTTTTAAATTTATTTATTTTTCATTTTTATTTTTTATTTTTAATTTGTTAAATTTTTTGTTTTATTTATTTATTATTATTATTTTTTAATGTTTTTTATTCATTTAAATTTTTTTAAATTTTAAATTATTTTTTTTAATACTATTTTTTAATTCTTATTTAAATTTTTTTAATTTTTAAAACTTTTTAATTTTTTATTCTTTAAATTTTTTGTTATTTTATTTTATTTTTTTTATTGTTAAGCATTTTAAAATTTTTAATTATTATTACTATTTTTTATTAATTTTGTTTAATTTTTTAATTTTTATTATAAAAATTTAAAGGAGTGAACCTAAACAAGCTATTGATTATGTGCTGTATCATGTTACTTGTATGGCAAGCCAAAGCAATTTTACATTGTACATGTCTAGGCACAGTAGATCTTAATGCACTGAGTTATCTTAGTTGCTTAAACTGACATGTACTGTTTTTCCACCACTTCAGAATCTCTGCATGCAGTAATTAAAGTTATCTTGTTTAGTACAATAGCTAAGCTTAGTCTATGCATAAGAAATATCATAGCAGAAAATTTTCGTGGCCCAAAATTGTTGCGTTGATACATGTATATAAAATGTAATCGATGCATAAAATTTACTCAAACTTTTCTACTATTATACTAGAGTGATTGATCTTTACCACTAAACAAATCAGTTGGTGATATGAAGGTCATTTCATCGGACAAAAAGGTCCCTGGTATATTATGTACTAGGTAATGTATTGCTTGGAAGATCTGGATATTATCTTGTTTTGAAAAATTTGAGTTTTATGCTACCTACATTTTTACAAATATGGTAAGGAGAAAGAATGAGACTTATAATTATTGTATTATTGAGTAAAAAATTGTGGCATGGCCAGAAGCTTTGCAAATTTTTAATAATTTTAACAAAATATTGTGGTTTTGGTTTGCATTAATGTTTCCATTGAAGTCAGAGCAATCTTTAAAATTTATCATCTTTTGCAAAATTCC